GGTGGGTATTAACATCCTCCTCGCCCCCGCCCTCGCCCCCGATTTTATTAATCAGGGAGAACCTGAACCCGAACCCGAAGCCGATAAACACGAGTTTTCCCCATCCAAATCGAGGTGGGTTCGGGCGGATACTCACGAGGACGGGTTAGATTGCCATGCCTACTTGGATTTATCAGTAAAAGTTTTTGTTAAAAAAAATTCCTTTTTAATCAATTGATACATAGTTATTTTAGTTTAATTTGAAGTTTTGAATTCGATTAAAAAATATCTAATTATGTTAAGTATTTGGTTGCAGGGTTTTTTTGTTCATAATAATTTTATTAGTTCAAATAAAGAAATATACATGTAGAATAGAAAGAAAAAAAAAAGAAGTAAGGCAGGTCTATTAATCGAGTAATATGCATGAGTTATTATAAATCGTTGCTACAAAGTTTGATTCTTATAGATAAAAAAAAATCAATTAAAAAAGAAAGAGAAAAGTCAAGCAAGGTTAATGATTTTTTTAATCTTTTATATTTACCTAATATTTTTGCATGTGAAATACATATGATAAATATTTGTTTTTATGATTAAAATTTAAAATAAATAATTTTTGTTCTTACTGGAAATCTGCCGCAGGGATGATTCCCCAAGTAAGATTGGTGAGCCTCCTTCGCTGGTACGCTTGATGTTCCGAGATGGGGGTGGTACCTGCAAAAGAGACTCTGATGCTAAAGTTAGGGTTTGTATGAGTATGAGTCTCGTATAAGTAATGCACATACCTTAGTGTCAATTAGGGTTGCGTTGGGCCTGGGGCCTTAGATAAGATGATATGATTGGATAACAGATCTCGTCTAGACCGAGATCTCCTCAGATCAGTTATGATCTGGTTAAATGATGAGTTGACGTCCCGCAGCGCGTATCCGAGGTCGTCATGCGTTGCGATGCCGAGCTGGGAGCTCGGTCTTGCAATACGGATAGTACAATTTTGAAGATATAATTTATATTTAATAAAATATGATAAATACGTTATATTATAATAAAAAAAATCATTAAAAAAAAGTTTAAGAGAGTTAAGTCTAAAAATGTTATGAGAGTTATAACGGTCCTTAAAGTTTAAAAAATGTTTTATAGAATAGGAGATCAATCTTTACCAATTAACCTTTGTTGATAATGTAAGATTATTTTCATCTATTGATAGTTTTTTTTAATAATACTAAAAAGTTTAAATATGTTTTTAGTCTCTCAAATTTAATATAGATTTGTTTTTAGTCCCTAAATTTAAAACTATTTTTTTTAGTCTTGTAATTTTCAAAAAAAAAAAATATTTTAATCCCTTATATCACTAATAATATATTAAAAAGTGACAGATTGAGACAATTGTGAATATCAACTAAGATAAATATGATATTTTTATTAATAAGAACACTAGTATGTAGATTTTATACAACAATATTTGACATATTTTTTAACAAAATTTGAGTATAAGAGTTAAAATAAAATTTTTAAAAATTACATGGATTAAAAAGATCGATTTTAAATTTGAGAGACTAAAAATAAATTTACCATAAATTTGAAAGACTAAAACCATATTTAAGCTATATTAAAATTTAACTTAAAAATGAAGATGAAAATGATAACTTCAAAGGTATAAAATTTTAAAAATCCTTAAATATGTTATCATTAAATAATATTTTTTAAAAATAGTATGGTTAAAAATATCTCAATAAAAATATTTTCTTTTTTATTTTTGGTAAAAAAAAAGTTTAAATTAACCAAAACACGATCTCCATGCATAATCAAAGTCAAGCACCAAAGATTAAAAGGTATTCATATGGATTGATCTACGGACTGATCCAATTTTTTTTGTGGGCTTACACAGGCCTTTTAAATGTAGGCCACTTAAGTACAAGTCAATGTAACCACGTGCTTATTAAGACTAGTGTAATTGGATATGTTGATGGGTATAGTGTTGTGTTACAAAAAAATGTTGACGGTGGCATGAATGCACCAAAAGAAAACACGACACCAGTTCAAAGGTTGACGGTGGTTCCATGATGACTATGTGAAGGTAGAGGTTAGAGTTAGACCCAAACCGATGCATGAATTAAGTTTTAATTAGGATGATCTGATAAGGGAAGATTAGGCTTTAGACAATTCAAAGCATTTAGCATTACTCTTCATGCAAAACAATAGTGACATATTATTTACAACAGAGTTATAGAGATGCTCTCATGGTTAGTGATTAAAGCTTGATATTTTCCCACAAACGAGTGCATGATTCAAATTTCAAACGGCCAAAGAATACAGGGTTATTTAAATAAACTTTTCCAGAGAAGAAAATTAGAAGAAAAAATAAAAATAAAAATTCTCTACAAGTTAAAATTAGCTTTTTCACAAGTTAAAAATTAGCTTTTAAAGAAGATAATATAAGATAATCTTTACAATTAATTTATGCATAATGGTAGAAGTTTATACTGTAGGTAGATTGTTAAAATAATAATTCTGAAAAACGTTTGTCAATAGCTGTAAAACACTAAAGTATAAACTAAATACATCAACCACTAAAATATAGAGGACGTGTCTGTTTCGAATTTAGTAACATAATAGATGAGATATGTGAAAAATCAAGAACTTGGGTTTTTATCTATCATTATATATTAAAATTACGTTGTACTTTTTAAAAGTGATTTTATTTCTTAGCCTGTCTTTTATATAAAAATAAGCCTACTACACTTTCTAGTTTTACTGGTGCAACCCATGCAATTCTTATTTATTTTGACGTAGCCCGGTAGTTGTTTCTCAACTACCCCAAAAATAAATACGAGAAACAAATTATTACACAACTAGGAAATTAGTTTATATTATAGAAGAAAATTAAACAATTGCAAACATGTCCAACAGAAAATCAGTCCCACATTCACTTCCGATCTGGAAAAAAAACAAAGGTCTGGTGGTAATCATCTTAAAACACTTTGCAGGAGTTTCAGAGAAAGTATATATATACATACATGAAGCAAATCAAAGGATCAAACCCTGAGCAGGAGCAGGCTTGGAAGGCTGCTTCTCACTTGCTTCTGCTGCTTTTGGGGCCTCAGAAAGGACCTGTGCATACTGATCTTCCACTTTTCGTTTCTGTTGCTCTTCTGCATTCTCCACTTTCTCTTTTGTCTTCTGTCCAACTTCCCCAGCTGCCTTAGAAACCTTATTAAAAGCACCGGTTACCCAGGAGGCCCCAGTAAGAACATAGCGATTCTTCATTATGGCAGAACCAGCATTACTAACTGTCTGTTCTGCAGCTGCAAATGCTGATTTGGTCTTTTCTGAAACCTGAAACTTTTGGTCCACTTCTCGAACTCTATCTCCCACAACTGTAGCACCAGCACTTATTTTCTCGCTAAGCCCAATTTTCTGATCAAAAGATGCAACTTTTGCTGAGGCTGTGTGCGTTAACTGGTGCTTCTCGTCAAAAGTCTTTGCTTTGTTGACAGCATCTTTCCCTAAGATAAAGCCTTTGGCTAGCATGCCGGAGACCACATCCTCTGCCTTTCGTAAAGCAGATTCACCACCACCAGGAGTTTGACTTACCTGAAAAATATTAGTTGTAAGGCCAAAACAGCAAAGTTACTTGTGCACATTACTAAATGGTAAAGGGTATTAGCAGGACTCACGTTGCTGGAAGCTAAGGCAGCAGGTGGAAGCTGGTAATCTGGATCCAGAGTTATTGTAACTGGCATATCGACTATTGTTGCACCCTGACATAAGTGAATTTAGCTTATATTTGGTCATCCATAGTGACTTAAATGAAGTTATTCACAAAAGAGAAATAGAACAGGTTGTGATGCCATTAGGATAATTACAAGCAAACACACTATTGAATATAATACCCAAATAAAATAATACAATCAGACACATGCCTCCAATTCTGAACTACAGATAATAGATCATATTTCAAATGGCTATTATTTCAATCATCACAAAAATAACCCAGTCCAGAAAGAAGACAGCTAGTGGCTAGTAAAGCATACGACAACATGTTCAGATTAGCATCAGTAAGATTGTAGAATAAATTGTATCAAACTTACGATTTACAATTTAACATTCAATCTCATCTGTAGGATGATTGAAATTTCTCAATAATTCCACTAGTAAAAAGTTATTTCAATCCAAAGCAGAGGCTAAAGTTTCCAGCATTAAGAAAAAAAGTAATCAATACAGCATGCATATCGAATAATACTTGACAAAAATAGACTAATAGGCTTCTTATAAGAGCTTCAAACACGTGGGATTCCAAAAAGAGATTAATGAAAGGCTTTTTAATAAGAGACTAAAGAATGAGATTTTTTGTTGTTAAAACAAACTTAATACAATACAAATATAAATTTAATTATGGCAAGTGGATTACCGAAAGCAGTACAGCAGTCTCAGCTCCCTGTGAATCCTTGAAGGTAATATAAGCAATTTGAGATCGTTCATCATGACTGCATCAATATATATAGACTTATAATTTGTATAACAAAAACAATAAATGAAAGCAGCCTAAAAAGGGGATTGCATGAAACAAAGAATAATAACTGACCTCTGTAGTTCAACATATTCAATATCACCAGAAAAAGAAAAGAACTCCTTAATGTCTTGGTCAGTTGCTCCCAAGGAAACATTACCGACTTTAACAGTTTTTATCTGAGAAAAGAAATAGAAATATTAGAACTCTGAAACCTGAAATTGCAGAATACCCACGTCTTTATATGTAATAAATTTCTGAAAACTCATAAGGACAAATACAAATTTCCGAAACATATTATTCAACTATACTACTATTAAAGAGAACTCCCCCTATGGGATCTTTGATGTATGTTATAAGCACTTCTAGAATTGTTCTTATATTCTATATCTAACGAAGGTTTATGTAAACAGCGAGATCAAGAGAGGATGTTAAAAGATTCATAAAATGATTTTGAAAGTGTGTCTTTAAAAGGATAAATCATAAGTGTGTATTTCCTGCCAAACAATTTTGTTTGAAAGTAATATTGTTAACTATAACACAAACATAACATTATTCCATAATCATGTACCTTGTAAAATAAAGTTGTAAGAATATCTAGAAAATATTTCATAACATTATTTGTTCTATTTCAGAAATTTTTAGAGTATATTCCATAATTTCTTAGTAGTAGTTTTCATACTTAATGATATGTTTCCTTATTTAATTAGAATTACAAGTTTTGTATTATATTAGTATTAATAAGTTTATTATCTTAAGTCTTAACACATCACAATACACACAACAATAATAACAAAAGTCTTCTTTCTCTTTCATTCACACAGCTCTTTTGAGTCTTGATTACTCACTAATTTAGGAACAATTTCAACTCTTAAAGACTGTAGTAGCACATATATAATCTGCAACATGCATATCTAGCTAGGAACCACTCAATCTTTGTTGTTCACGGATAGTCAAGCGTTTCAAATCAGTATCACATTTGTGAAGTTGAGAACTAACTACGGACACTTCCGTTATCTCGTTCACACATCCCAAAAGACAAACCAACCAAAACCCAAACCCTGGAATTTTCACAAGCGCCCAGAACAGAAGTAACGCTATAAAAGGAGACAAAATGTGTTCAACTGGAACTACAAAACAGAATTCATTAACATCTTTAGAAAGATATCATTTCTTAATTCTATTCATTCCAAATGGTTTAAGCAATGACACACCCAGTGTCTGTTGCTTTAAAGCTTGAAATCGAACTTCGAATATCAAACACGAAATAATTAATTAACTTAACACCATTCAAAAATAGTTCCCTAATTTCACTAATCATGTAATACAACAGTTATAGGTTATACAGATTCATATGCCTAAAATATCAAAAACTAAGCAATCGCTAGCAATCAAATTACACAAATTAAACAATCAAATATATATTTCAAAACACTTAGAAACTCAATTGAAGCTACATGAGATAAGTTATACTGGTAGAAAAGCCTAATAAGCAGGCCGCAAGATCTTCAGAAATCTTGACGGTGTGAAAAAATTGGTCAAATAAACATACGAATTCAGAGAAAGAAAGAGGCGGTGCGATGAGAACTCACCGACATGGAAAAATGATTTAAATGGCTTCAGATAGAGGTATCTGGTGTGCGGAAATCGCCGCAAAACTTAGCTCTGGTCGGTGGAGCAAGTCGTACTGTGAGGAGCGATGTTAGTATTGAAAAAGAAGTTAGGGGATATAAGAGGGATGGAACGCACGTGCCTGGGTGAGAGTCGCACGTGCAAAGTCGTGGGTTTGAGGATTTCAAACTACCAAGCACGAATCCGCGTGATTGAACGACCTGTCCCGACACGACTCACGATTCACGAAGTTGGACAATCAATAACGGGTCATAAGTCATAACTAGTAACATGTACGTTACGTAAATTATTAGTTAGTCTTTGATTAGTTTTTGGTTCTTTGAATAAGATAACCTATTTTCTTTTACTAATTATTTTTTTATTGTACTAAATATTTCAGCAATTAAAACAATCCATTTTATTGATAAATATAAATATTATATTCTCACATACACTTCTCCTTCCTAATAAATTAGAGTGTTTAACACTTTATTTCATTTTTTTAAAATATTTTGATTAAATTTGGTTAACCTTTTTTTAAAGAATTACTACCTCTCAATCATAGATTTTTTTTTAGTTTGATAAGATTTTTTAAAAGTCTAATTTAATATATTAATTTATTTAAAAACTTATTTTAAGTTAATAATATTAAATAGATTTATAAATTTAATTTTAAATAAGTTAATAAATCTATTTTTAATAATATAAGCAATTTTTTTTAATTTTCGTGATAAAAAAATAGTTTACTCTATTATTATTAAAATTTGGAGTTTAAAATAAAAATAAAAAATTAAAATAAGAGAAACAATTTATACACATTAACGTACATTCATGCACATATGTGATAAAAGAAAATAATTTTATTAATTTTTTTTAATATTTCTTATATCTCATTTAAAATATTCTAAATAAACAATTATGAAGATGAAGAGAATAAAAAAAAAGGACAAAGATGAGATTGTTAGGTTATCTATTTTCTATTTTTTAATTTTGTATGAACAAAGAATGTAAAATATTTAATCAAGATAGTGAAAATGTCAAAAATATTAATAATTTTATTTTTTATATTACAAATTTATTTATTTAATTATTTTTTTAATGATGTAATATGCATATGTGGAAAAAATAACTAAATACTGGAAAGATTGTTGAATAACATGTACCAAAAACTCATATCTTTAGCCAAATGGAGTGCGAATAAAAGTTAGATGAAATAGTAGATATTTTTATACTGATTCATCTCATAAGATTACATTCAGATCTCAATCCAACTAGATTGAGTTTAACTATCTTTCAATAAAGATACAAGTATCATTTCAACAAGTCACTTTTGACGTAACTCTAAGTATTATTTTACTTGTATCTTCAAGCAATTACTCAAATATTTTTTTTTTCACAACAAGCCTATTCAGGTTTAACAACTAAATATTTTTTTATAGTCAAATCTTTCTAGGCTAAAAACAAGTATTCTTTTACAATCAAGTCTCTCTAGACTTAAAATAAGTATTTTTTTTTTACAAATGAGTATCTTCATACTTAACTTTATAATAATGGTTATGAAGGTTACACATATGTTATGTTCGTCTTACTTGAATGTTATACAACCAATATAGAGTAATAAGTTTTTACAAAAAATAATAAGTATGATTTACAGAGAGTGTTTTCTTGTATGATTTTTTTTTTGCATCTCTTCTTTCTTGAATTTTGAATATTCTAATACAGTAACTTAGAGAAGATGATCATTGCAACACTTTGAGTCCAACTCACAAATTTATTTCACCTGTCTTCATCATCTTTTCTTATGATGGTAGATAATTGTTTGACTAATTTAATGCAAATATTAAATGTATTTCACCAAATAGTACCTATGATCAAGGAAGTTACTTATCAACTTTTCATACCGAACGAAGTTTGTAAAAGCAATGTTAACACAGTGCAACTATAATGATAACTTTATCTACTTTTCTCTATGATCTCAAGGATCTTGATTTTAATATAAATTTAAGCATTCAATATGAACTTCGTCATTAGTATTAATAAATAATGAATATTTAATATATATGAGATAAACATATCGTCTGATTTACATCGTCTTACATATGATAAATGTTTTATACTTTGTCTGATAATACTTTTTCACAAACTAGGCATGGCAACGAGGCGGAGGCGGGTTTTACGTTCTCCGCCCCCGCCTCCGATACCTGCTGGGGGTAAAATTTGGATACTCATCCCCGTTTCTGGCGAGGTTCGGGTTTTCCCGCCCCCGCTTCTACCTTTTTTTTTTAATTTTAAATAAATATGAAAAAATTTAAAAAAATAAAAGAAAAGTAAAATAATACAAACTTTTACATATAAATATTTCTAATTTTGGTTTATATATATATATATATATAAATATTTTTTTAATTATATTTTTAAGTAGGGCGGGGACGGGGGTGGGTACGGGGTAGGGATTTTAATACCTGTCCCGCCCTCGCCCCGATTTTATCAATCGGGGAAAATCCGAACCCAAACCTGATAAACACGAGTTTTTCCCATCCAAATTGGGGTGGGTTCGGCAGGTACTCACGGGAATGAGTTACATTGCCATTCCTATTACCACAAACATTTTTGAAGATATTTTCTTTTATAAAAATATTTAATTTGTTAACATTAAAACTTCAAAATTTGACAGATCCAATATGTCTTTTGACTTAATAACATATTATTTTTTATTACATTATATAGATAAATAGATTTGCCTATCAAGTTTAACAAATTTTTTTATAAGCTTAATGTTAGAGAAAAAGATACATATTAGAAGGCGAAGTTGAATAATGTACATCAAAAACTTGCGCTTTTGTACTAAAGTAGTAATTAGACGAAATGTTGGAAAGTGATTAGATGAAGTATTGGAAAGCAACAAACGAAAAGACACAAGTATTTTATACTAGTTCGTCTGAAACACAGAGACTACATCCAGTTTTCGATCCAACCAGATTGAATTTCATTATCTTTCTCAAGATATAAATATTTTTTACATAAGTCGCTTTTGGCTTAAATCTAAGTAGTCTTTGACTTGCTTCTTTAAACAACTATCCAAATATTCCTTCAACAAGCCTCTACACGCTTAAAATCCAAGTATTTCTCCTCCAAGTCTCTTCAAGCTAAATTCTAAGTATTCTTTCCACAAGCCTCTTCAAACTCAGATCCAAGTATTCTTCCTACAAGTCTCTTCAGGCCAGTGTTTAAAAACTCGGATCGAACTGGCTGGTCGGACCTGTTGGACCAGGAACTGGTGGTCCAGCCGATCCAAATCTTAAGTTAGATCGGTTATGCAGTCGACCCGTTTCAAATCGGATTGAACTGGTCAATTTTCTGGTTCAACTGGTGAATTGGTGGGTCAAACTGGTTCAACCACTTTTTTTTCTTATTTTTTAAAAAAAATTTAAGGGACCATAAAGTACAAAATAAAAAGACTTAAACATATTTTTATTCCTCGTAAAATAAGTTATTTTTTATTTTGATTTTTGTAATTTTTTCTATATTTTTTTTATCTATCTAAAATTAAAATTATTATTTTTAATCTCTAGTATTATGTGGTCATTTATAATTATTTATGTGGTTATCATATGATCAAGTGACTGTATTAGTTATCATGTTAGTATGTAATGTTTCTAAAATTTTCTATAAATTCTTAAAATAAATGTTTATTTATTTATCTTAAAATTAACACTAAAGATAAAAAATGGTACTTTAAGGAATAAAAATTAAAGAAAAATATTTTATAAGAATCAAAATTATTATTTTTTTTCATTTAACTAAAAATACAATTTCAAATTTTAAAGAAATAAAAAACAAATAAAAGTTTATAAAAACAAATCAAAACACATTTATCTTAAGTGTTAA